GTATTTTAACAAAAAAGAAGTGTAATTGAAGTGGGCACAATTGAATATATAAAAATTCATAAGTCTAATATGGCACTCACAAAACAGAATATCCCTCCAAAAAAGTTATTGTTGTTATTAGAGGTGACTATTACATCAACCCCTTACTCTAAAAATCATTAATTACAGGGAAGGAATTAAGGATATGTCAAAAGGCCCCAGTTCAAAAGGAAAGCTCTTCCTTGCAGAAGAATGATAGCTAATAAGTGTAAAAGTAATGGTAGAATCTCGGAAATTACCATTTTGTTATTCTGAATGAAATTATTGATTCAGGTTATAATCACCAGTGCTGTAATCATTAGGTAGAGGGCAATGGAGAATTGAACATTCACACTGGTGCAAAAGTATAATTTAATTAACTTGCTAGTCCCAAGGGGAAAAACAGAACTGGAATGGAAAGCTCTGGCTTCATATTCAGGGACACAACTCAACATCACTAATGGTGGAACAACCAGATGCTATATGGCTCCTGGTGTAATGCAAAATGAAGAACACCTATAAAATTTCAGCCCCAAATGTTTAATCAGAAGTAGATCCAGCCTTTGAATCTCATTTCTAGTTTACAGGAAATGCAATTTACCACTAGAACAACTGGACAAATCAAGAATATAGGGTATTCCATAAAACAGCTGTCTTGGTATCTTCAAAAGTCAAAGTTATGAAAGAAGAGGGGGATAATGCTTTAGATTAAAAGAGAATTAAGCAACATTAAATCCAGATGCAATGCCTACTGTTTGATTGGACCCTGGTTGACAGTCCCCTGACTTCTGAATTCAGACCAGGCATTCAGGATGTTCAGAATGACTGTTAATTTTATTAGGTGTGCTCATGGAATCATATGTATTAAAAAAATGTTCTTTTTAGAGCTGAATAATGACAGATATATAAGTTAAATATCATGATGTATATAGCTTATTTTCAAATGTTCCAGCAAAAGAAAAACCTAGATAAAGCAAACAAGTGAAAATTATACTCTCAGCCTGAGTGGGTATGTGAGTGCTCCTTTTCTAATTGTTCATCTGTATATTTGAAAAATGCATTTATTGCATTTTTCGCATTCTGTCTATTCTCTTATTTTGGAACAAATAATTCTGCATGTCAGAAATAATGGAAAAACCAACTACAGTGGCTTAAATAAATAGGGGTTTTATTGTTTTACACAGCAAGAAGTTCGGGGGCAAGCAAGGGAGTCAGCGCCAACGTGTGCAAGATTCCCTTGGCCTTTCTCTCATGCTCATAGCATTCTTTCCTTCAGAATGAAAACATGGTGAGTTCCCCAATTCTACCACTGCTCTTATGCTCATTAGCTATCAAGCCTTGCTATCACCCACATTAAGCCAGGAAAAAGGTGGAGGAGGAGACGGCACTAACAGACTTCCACTCAGGTATCATCAGCAAGGAATTTGGGCGCTTTGGGAAAAATGCAAGATGGGGAGAGTGAGGCCTCGAGTGTCCCCAGCCCCCAGAGGGCCAGCCCAGTTTGCTGTACTCTTGTTGACCCTCCTACTCAGTCTCCATGTCTCAGTCTCTTGGATTTTCTGTCATTTCCATCCATAAAAACTTACTTGTTTCTGAGCTTTCACTTTTAGGGAGAGTTTTTCTATTCCAAGAAGTCCATTTGCCTGTATTCTTTCCTTTTTAACCATTTTTATTTATGTAGAAAGGGAAGTGCCTCTTCTCCTCTGGTTTTCATGAGAGCAGAGGCAGGGGGTTCCTTCCCTCCAGTACACTCCTGGCCCTTCTCCACGTCTGGGAATACAGTCGTTTACGTGATTGCTGAATTGGAGGGGACCACCTAGGATGCTTGGCTCATCTCTGCCCCGTTTCCTCTTGGGAACAAGTTTCCCATGGGTGACGTGCTCTCTGCAACTCTGAGCAGACAAGCTGTCCTGTCACGTGGCCAGTACTACCTGTGACCAGGTGGGTAGCATCTGCCTAATTCTGGGGTTCAACCCATTTGCTGCACATTCAAACACATCCTCCAATTTAGCTATAGGCAATGTGTTGTTGCAGATGATATTTTAGCCTCCATCTACCACTTTGAATTATTCCTTTTAAAGAACATACATGGGAAAACACATCAAAGATCCCAATACTGAGGAACTTTTTGTGTTGCTGACTCACTGGTGGTGGAAGGTTTTTACAATGTCTCACTGAAAGCTCATCCAAGCGAAGCTTCATTTTTCCACTGGCTTCTGTGAGGCTTGAGAAACTAAAGTGTCCCCAAGTCCAGACCGGTGCCATGTACTCAAACCAGAGCACAGGCTGGGCTTGATTTCTCTCAGACTTATTTTCTTCTTCTTGGAGCCACTAGGATCCTTGCTGTCTCCTAGGAAATGTTTACAAGAGTCTCTTTTGGGGCTGCAGCCTGTCAACAGTACTGGTTTCCTGCAGGAGTCTTGGGATGACCTCTGACCTCAGGTCTTATGATGCCTCTGATTTTATCCCAGTATGGAGCTTACTTAGTCCCTAAGACCCTAATATTAAGGTTGGGGACTCATCTCAGCCTTTCATCCACTCAGGAACAAGATTCCCACAAGGTGAGGGGTTCTCTCCCTGGGACCCACTTAATCTGGAATGTTGGTACATACACATTCTTCAGCTGAAATATTGCTGCAGCTTTCTGTTTTAGGGTATCTTGTTGAGTTTTAGTATCAGAAGTATGTTTATATTCCATAAGATGAATTTGAAAACATTCCCAATACAGTTAACGACCTGAGACAACCAAGCTACTATTACATAAAGTAAGTTACAGACCTGGGCTCCAGTCCTTCACCAGGAGCTTGCCAAAGTTCTCATCTTGGAGCAGGGCAACAGGAGTAAAGGGACCACCACAGGTCACTGCACTAAATATTTCCACCCCACTTACTACCATGTTCCATTCTATTTAGAGCCAGTAGATTACTTGAAATATGAAAGTAAGCAAAAATTTATCTATTGAAGCTCACTGGGCCTGCAATTTTTGGAGGTGATTAACAACTCAATAAGACAACTTTTTCGATAACTACTGGTTAGTTTTTCTATTTCTTCCTCAAGTCTCACTCATATTTCACTGATATTTCCAAATGCATAAAAACAGTAATGTAGTGTATTTACCTATAATTTTCTCCACAACTATTCTATACCCTTCTTGGCCTTACAAGTCTCTCGTTTTATACTTTCTGGTGTTTAAGCTTTCTAGAGAATTTCTTTGACTTCTTTTCCTATATGGACTGTGTCTACTCTCCATTCTTGCCCCTCATTTGAAAGTGATTCAGTTTGGTTTAACTTATACTACTTCCATTTCCTATTTGATACCTAAAACTACATTGCTCTATTTTTCAATGGCAACACTTATAAACTTGTTATTGACTCCCCTTCTAAATTAAGATGAGGATTTTTTAACATGCTTTTCTTTTCCCCATCATTCCAATTTCTAGTCATTATTGTAATTTTTATATATCTTCACTTTCATAATTTTTTGGACATTTGCTTTGCTTTGTAACTATGTGAGTCCTTCAACTTAATAGTTTTTAACTGGAAGTTCTTTCTTTTTATTACTCTCATTTTTTATCTTTGTCAATTGATATTGGTAGTCAGCTGAAGCAGATCTTTTGATATATGTGTAGGTTGTGTGTATGTATTTCTAGACAAGACACTGTCTTACTTCACATTCCAAGACCCAGCATCCCACTACTTGTCCATATCTCTTGCTTGCATTATTGATTGTATTGTTAGGAATCCCCGAATGTCTGGAAAAAGATAATTGTCACTGAGGATACCACAGCTGTGGCCACTTTAGAAGGTAGCTTCCTTGAAGATTGCATTGGCTGTACACATTCTAGTCATCAAAGAAGCAAGCTCTTAGGGATCCATCCACAGTGGGTGGAGATGGAAATCTTCCTTCTTCCAGCTACTCCTTGAAAGCACATGACAGCATTCAACAAATGTTTATAAAATAAATACCATGTCAATTCTGCCTTGAGCAAATCCAGTATATACCCAAACCTTCACATTCCATCACTACTGCTCCAGCCAAGGCCACTATAATCCCAACCTTCCTTCCTTTAATGCTTCCCCCACACTACAGGTTTTTGCTCTTTTCCGTAAAGTGATCTGATCATGCATGACCCAACCTTTCTTGAAAATTTGCCAGTGGCTCTCTAACGCCAAGCTCTTCAGAGACAGACTTCATTTACTCTTCTGGCTTCATTTCAAGATTTATAAACTATCTCCACAAGCCTGGCCTCTGAACAGACACTCGTTTTCACACTTCTGTTATCTTTCTAATCCCACTCCCTGTGCACTTGTAAAATCTCACACCAATTCTCAAATGTAACTGACATCTTGACCGCATTTCAAAAATTACTCCCTTAGTGTCCCCGTAGTATTTTAAGCATAATCTTAGAGAATTTAGTGCATACTGGAGTTGTTCACCTCCAATTCAGATAAAGAATTCCTTAGAGCAAACATTAATTATTCATCCTTTATACCAAACCATTATGCTGCTGCTCAATAGACAGTACCAAGAACATTAGTACCTTAACAGGTGCTTGAAAAGGCCTAAATCCAGTTTCTAACACTAGACAATTTCAGTTGTAATGCAAGTTAAATTTTCCTCTCTACACTAAACTGGAACCCCAATCACAGCCTTTCCCCAAGTAAAGAGGACTTAGTAATAGAATCTCTCCAAAGGTAAACACCCCATATAACTTTGCATTTCATTTCAGTGTTTGTGTACTTCTACGATCAAATTCCACTTCCCCAACACTGTGGTGGGAAATTGAGTTTGTCTTCTCACCAAAGAGAAGAGTTGGCACAGTAGGAGGTCAGGCTGTAGCAACCCAAGATCAAAGTTCTAACACTGGCTCCTACACCTAGCGTATGTTAATACTTAAGCTCTAAAACTCAATTTCCCAATTTTTTAAATGTGAATATATACATTGCTAATTTTGCTTTGTTGCAAATTAATAAACACCTAGTGCAATGTGGACATAAAGATTTATTTTTAACTACAACTGGTGTCATACAACCATACAACAGGCATGGAATCTCCTATACCACCGTTTCACAATAGTGAAGTAATGCAATTGTCAACTGCCACTTGCAAAAAGAACAGAGAGGGAGTATTCATAATTCAAATACTTCCAACATGGGGCTTTTTGTACTTAGAAGTAAAATATGAATTCTTTTACAGTGTTTCAGGTAATTCCTTTCAATTTATTCAAATTAGTATCTTAAACATCCTAGGTTTACAGTAGTGCAATTGTTGGCTTTCTTTTCACAAAGGTGTATCAATGCATTCATGGGACTTGAATCACAAGTATTCACTTTTCTTCTATATTAATATATTCTTTGTAAACATACCCACCAGACTGCCCAACATATAGCAATACTGTCAGGAAGTTTCTTTACATTAATAATGGCCATAACTCTAGAATCTAAAGTTAATTATAAACTATTACCTCCCAGCAACCCACATCAATGGATAAACCAATATAATGAAAAACAAGTTTTAATGCAAGATGCTGTATAGCTGTATTCCACGAAATAGGATTACCAGCAAAGGGCTGCAGCCCTACTGAATCAAATAAAAGTATTGTCATACAGCCAAAAGCCTTATATAGAAGTAATTGCTATAATTTAGATAGTTTGATAAAGTCTCTCAAGTTTTTTCTACTTTAGGTTATATGATTTACAGACAAGACACACAATCAACTGTATGGGTTTGAGAGTTCTAAGTATTATTTTTACTAAGGCCTTTTTATTTTCCAATTTAGATGGGAAGACCCAGTCTTTGTTATCACTCACTCACTTCCATGACAATATTTAAAGGCTATCATTAGTGTTCAGTTGTGTAGTTTTTTGCTAAGGGGGTGGCTAGAGCCTCTTTGCTCTCAGTAAGTGCTCTGGGCTGATGGATAAACACACTAAATTTAACACCCTGGTTATTGGCAGCTCTGACAAAACCACTATTCGCAGTCATTGTGATAGCTTTTAGAGTATCTCCTGTCCCAAAAATCGTTAATGATCGGCTATTGATTTTTGAACTGGCCACTAGTCTCAAGGCACGCTCGGAAGGCTGGTCTGGCACCACGTTAATTTGTTTAATTAACATAATGGCTCTCTCTCTCTCCCCAGGTCCACCTAAGGTATCTAGAATAGACTGAAAATCCTTGACAGCAGATTCACAAGCAAACAACTCTTTGTCCTTCATAAATGCCTCCAACTGTGGTAGAACCTGTTCTTTCCTCTCTTGCTCTGCTTGTTCCGTGAGCACTTTTTCTTTGAAGATAAAGTGGCAGCCTCCGTAGCTGAGGGCAGATACATACGTGATTAAAGTAGTAATGTCCAGGTTTACTCTTCTGCACACATCGACCTTAATCTCTGTTGGAAACGCAACACTCGCTAGTATATTCTCTCGGTCTACTCTGGTCACCTGCAAAAGTTCAGGGCCCTCATCATCCGATTCACTCTCACTCAGTCGGAACTCTTCAGGGTGACATAACAGAGAGTTCACTGCGACTATGTCTCCTCTCACGGATATGCCCATTTCTTTCAGCTTCTCAGCCATAGGGCTGGAGACACTGTTGTAAAATGCAAAGATGATGTGAGGGTTGCTATACTGCACTGGCTGCTGGTGACTGGCCTGGAGAAAGTCTTCAGCCTGCTCGATGACACTTTTGTCACCATACTGGCCCCTGCCTAGCCAAATGTTATGTAGAGCTTCAGCCTTCCGGCCAATGGCCTTCACCCAAGTATGACCACCATTTGCAACTACATCCACCACAAGGGTCTGTTTTTCCCCCAAGGTATCTGTGTAACCAAAGACATGAAGAACACTAACAACTTCTTCCAAGTTTTCTGCTGATTCCACAATGGCTCTTAGGTGTGTTAGGTTAGTGCTCTGTAAATGAGATTCCTTAATAGCTACTTTTCCAGCTTCTACTTTCTGTAAGAATTTTAATTCTGCCTTCAATTTGCTGCATAGCTTTGCACCACCTTCTATGCCACCTTTTCTTGACCTCGAAAGTGATTCTGCTCTCTTGATCAGTTCCTTGGCTATGGCGATTCGTTCACAGAGCATGGAGTGTGCAGACATGCTGACAACATTATTCCTTCCCTATGAAAAGAAAAACAAGGCAAATTGAAACAGTGCTCAAAAACTATGGCAATCAATCCTTCACTGAGGATTATAAAACTTCAATCTAACAACAAATTTACGTAGGTGGGATGTATGAACCTGGGTTTCTGCACGTCTGTTTTTGGAGTAATTCCCTCCTCTAGCAGCTAGGGAAAGGATGACAGCAATACATTTGAACACTTTCTTAGGTCTGCTGTATTTGCATACACTTTAGATTTTCATTTCTGCAAGCTTGATCCATGGCATGGCCCTGATGGGGGTTAAAATGCAGTAATTCAGCAATCTGCCAATGAGGAATTCCTTATCAGCAACCTTACTGTTGCGCTGTAGAGAAATATTGACTCCGAATTTAAAATAAAACGATTAAAATAAAAATACCCACACGGACTAGCTGCTTGGCAAACTGTCCAAAGCAAGCGTGTCTCTCCTAAAATTGACCACACCAACTAAGGCTTTCTAACCTATTCCTCCTTGATGACTGGGTCTTCCTTTAACCGGCTGTCTCGGGATTTTCCACGGGTACACGGTACACCTTCCAAGGAATCTACACTGCCTCGTTCCTGCATTTGACGAAAACCAGAGTATTTTAAAACACCGAAGGAACCCATCAACCGGGGTCCCTACCCCACTCCAAAGGAAAAGCCTGAAGATTAGGTAAACGCCACGAGTGCAGCCCGCGGCGCACGGAGGTCGGCGGGGACTTCCGGACGGGCCTCGGGCCTCTGGCCCTGCGCGGTCCACAGGCAGGCAGATCGGCAGGCAGATCGGCAGGCAGATCGGCAGGCAGATCGGCAGGCAGATCGACAGGCTCCGGCTCCTACCGCCGCGCGACCGGCACAGGGCGCGAAGGGCGCGGAGGGCGCGGCGGAAGGCGAGCTGCAGCCAACACGGCCCCCTCCTCCCATCCCTGCCCGGCCAGGCGGGCCCGGCCCAGCTCCCTCCGGCCTCGAAGGGGCGCCGCGAGCCCTTCCTCCGCCCACCCCGCCTCCTCACCGGCAGCGTCAGGACCGCGAGCACGAGGA